GAAGTTATTTGGAGTTCTGTATGCTTTGGATACATGAATGTCAGATTGTCTTCCCATATTTGGGAAGTTTTCTTCTATTATTTCTGCTCATATTCTTTTTAAATCATTTGTATTAGCTCCTTTCTCATTGATGCCTATTAGTATCACATTGTTCATCTTTCCATCCTCTTGCAGATGTTCAATTTTTTTCCTGCATCCTAGCTGTTCTTACAAGATATTTTCTTGACTTTTCACTAGCTGTGACAGAGTCTTCACAATCTGAAATTCTATCTTCACTTTCAAATGGTTTTGCCAGCTTGTGATTGAGCTTTTAAGTTCCTGTATATCTCTTTGATTCTGCTTCATGCTATGTATTTCTTTCCTATATTGATCAGTCAAGAATTCCATCATTTTTCTATTCTCTATTTTGTCTTCTTTAGAAGCAGTGATTAATACTGTCATTATACTTGCCCTTTCTTTTTTTTTACTTCAGAGATTATTTATGATCTGATTTCCTCTATACCTTTCTGAAGTTGTTTCTTCACTTCAGAAACTACTAATTCAGAGACTTCAGTTGTGTGATTCCCAATTTCTTCTATGCTAGTGTCTCCTGCATTTGTTCTGGGTGGGCTCAGAGCCTGAGATTGCATTTTCCTCTTTCTCTTTGTCATTTTTGTACAGCACTGTCTTCTGACCGTGGTGCAGTTATAACCTTAGCACATACCAAAATTCTTACCCAAGGGAGATCATATGGTGAAGGCAGTTATAGTTTTGCATTGACACACCTACAATTAGGAACACTAGTAATGGGTAGTGATATGTAGCTATTGACAAGCTACTGTAACTAATGCATTTGTATTTTAGACCATAAGAGCAAACTTTATTACTGTGTAGCTTAAGCAGGTATTAAACTGTAAATTTGTATTTAAGTTAGTTCCCTCAATTCTGTCTGATCCCCTCCCCTTGCTGTACCTGGGGTCTTCCAGGAAGATTGGTTCACCCCAGTTACCTTTTGCCCCCTTTCTCAGTCAAGAGAGAAAGAGGGAGAAAGACAGATATAGTGTCTCTTCCATGTCTCCGCATACAAGGTTTGGATCTATGAAGTTTAAACTCATCCCAGTGTGCCTGGCTTGGGTCCAGCTGCTGTGGTCAGCTTTTTCCTGCTGCATCCTGTGGAAGTGACCAGCTGTGCCCTCTGGCAAGATGTTCTGTCCTGCATTAGCTGGATTGTTCTGGCCCCTGGCCTCTCTACAGGGACTTCAGCTGTACAGTTGCACAACAGGCATGTATGCCAGGCCTGGGCTGGGCCTGGAGTGGTCTGGTGGGGGAAATGGGGTGGAAGTGCTCCCCCACACCCGCCAGGCTTGGGCTGGGTGAGGAGGAGTCCGGTGGGCGCTGTGGAGCGGAGGGTCTCACTCACACACCAGGCCTGGGTTGGTCTGGAGGTCGAGCCCCTTGATAGGATGGAGACTCTGGAGAACAAAGGCTGTGTCTTACTGTGGTGAATTCCCAGGATAGAGTTTGGGTCAGACCATGTTCAGTCAACATCCATATGTTGAATAAGTGTTCTACTGTGTCTTCTTTGGTAGCGAAGCCAGAAACAACCACAAGGAAGGTCCTCAAGTATTTGCACA